ACCTTTCTGTCTGAGTGACCTCTGTCTGAGTGACCTCTGTCTGAGTGACCTCTGTCTGAGTGACTTACCTTTCTGTCTGAGTTACCTCTGTCTGAGTGACCTCTGTCTGAGTGACCTACCTTTCTGTCTGAGTGACCTCTGTCTGAGTGACCTACCTTTCTGTCTGAGTGACACACCTTTCTGTCTGAGTGACACACCTTTCTGTCCGAGTGACCTACCTTTCTGTCTGAGTTACCTCTGTCTGAGTGACTTACCTTTCTGTCTGAGTTACCTCTGTCTGAGTGACCTACCTTTCTGTCTGAGTGACACACCTTTCTGTCTGAGTGACCTACCTTTCTGTCTGAGTGACTTACCTTTCTGTCTGAGTGACCTCTGATCGAGTGACCTATCTTTCTGTCTGAGTGACCTCTGTCCGAGTGACCTACCTTTCTGTCTTAGTGACAGACCTTTCTGTCTGAGTGACACACCTTTCTGTCTGAGTGACCTACCTTTCTGTCTGAGTGACCTACCTTTCTGTCTGACTGACCTACCTTTCTGTCTGAGTGACCTCTGATCGAGTGACCTATCTTTCTGTCTGAGTGACCTCTGTCCGAGTGACCTACCTTCCTGTCTGTGTTACCTCTGTCCGAGTGACCTACCTTTCTGTCTGAGTGACCTCTGTCCNTGTTGACTCTTGCATGTATTCAGATTTTTATTGTTAGTGGTTAGTTATTTTATCCCTTTATTTAGGCTATGAAACACATTAGTGCTAAAGCTGTCCTTTTTTTTAAGAAAAAAAGAAAGATTTTTTGGTTAGAGTAAATCATCACGGAAGTTTAAACTGTGTTAATAAAGATGCCCTAGTCTGAACTAGTTTTGTGTTTAATTAGGTCATTATCTACAGTTTTTTTGTGTTAGCAATGGTTCAGTAGCCAAACGAATGTCAGAGTCACATGAGTTGACTGTCAATCAGAATAATCAAAATGTTACAGATTATATCTTGAGATCGTTTTCTTTTATACTTTTCGTTTTTAACATTCTCTTTTTCCTTATAAACGATCTAAACACGATACGTGTAAATCTGGCATCGTCTTCAGACTTCCATTGGCAATATCAGAGTAACAGGAAAGAGAGTACTGTGATTCTACTAGGGAACGAACCGGTAACAATCAAAAAGATAGGAAAATCACATTCTATCGAAACAACATATATTATGTCAAATTTCTTTGAAAGGCGTGAAAAAAATGATTTTCCAAAATTGTATATAATAAAACCAAGAATATATTTATAAGATTTCAGTGGGGCAAGGAAGTAATTCTTGCGGTGTTGACAATATGATGTTGTCCAATTTTTGTAGCAAACTGCTCCTTTATCGAGACACAGAAAAAAACACTAAACAATCACATAACATAAAAACAATATGAAATATAATAGGATATAGCTTACATAATTTTGAAAACAATAAGGCCATCGACTTGCGTTAGTTGAAGCCACTTGCCATATCGTTGACCACTGATGCCGTGTGTGTGGGAATACCGACAAAGAGATTAAATGTACCTAGAAAACTGAAGCGTAAATATGCTGAAGCTGGAAAAATGAAACGAGGATTCGTCCCAAGATGATAATTTGGATATGAAAAGCACTCATAACTGAAGCACGTTCGGGGAATACACGTCTGCTTACTCGGTAGTTTAGTCAGGTTAGAGGAACAGTATAACAACCTAAAGTCCAAGGTTCTAATCCCGGTTAAGCCACGTTTAATTTTAAATTTAGATAATTGTTGTAAATTTTGTTTTGTTAATTTCATCTTTATTATAATTGATTTCAGTGATATACTAGTTAAGGATCCCAGTCCCACTTCCATGTGGATTTTTTTTCTACAGTAACTTCCCCCTAATGTCTGTGGATTTAACTTTAGCACAGTTTGGCCAGGCAAACTTCCATAGTCAAGTTAGCTCAATCGGTAAGAGTGATTCTGAGGTCTAGGGTTCGAATCCCAGTCTGCCCCCGTGGATGGTTACACTCAGAACACTGTAATTGATTTATATTTTGTTTATTTCATATCCATTGTTTCTCAAAGGGGATCCTTAAGAAAATAACAATGATTCAAATTCAACTTAACTTTTATTTTCCTCACTTGCAGACACCCGGATGATATCGACTTGTTCACTGGAGGACTTTCCGAAATGAATGCTCAAGGTTCACTGACGGGACCCACATTCGCGTGTATAATTTCAAAGCAATTCCAGGCCTTTAAAGTAGGGGACAGGTTCTGGTACGAAAACGACTTCCCAGCTATTGGATTCACTAAAGGTGAGTAAAAGATGAAATGGTAGCAAATGTTTATATTCGCCAGCTTAATACCTTTGACAATGATTTACCTATGTGGGCAAAGATAAGCATTGTAACGAGATGTGATAGGTTAGGAATGATATTTTGATGGAAAAAATAAACCAAAATAATTGAACATCATCAAGACCCATATATCTTTAATCTAACAAGTATTCTATGTTTAAATTTGTATTAGTGTTCATTTTTGTCTTATTCAACTTTCCTGCTAATAAAGATGAGATTCATACAGTGTCTACTATTTCGACTAGAAATAAATGAGCTGTTGCGAAGTGCTGTGTCTCATTCTGTGGACAATGATGCACTGTTTTGATAAAAACATATCAGTGTCGAATGTATAAAGGATCCCCGTACCACTGCCAAAAACTTGAAAACACTGTTTTTTTCGGCATGACTATAGCTTTAATGAATTATTTCTGAAAGGGAAGCCCATACCATACGGGATATCTTATAAAAATACATTAAAGAGGAAATAAACAAAACATTTTAACAACAATGATCTAAAAGTTCAAAATTAAACGGGGATAGACTGGGATTCGAACCCTGGACTTTAGGGTGTTATACCGCCGCTCTAACCGACTGTGTTACCGGGTAAGTGGACGTGTTCCGCCCCAAACGAACTATTGTTATATCCAGAATAAAAATTAAGAGGGTTACAATATATACGAAATCGACAATGTAGTGGACCATAAATCCTTGAAACATGCTCATAGTAGGAAAAGATGTCATTCACTGACTTATTGGAAAAGACCTTGAAATAATTAACCACATACTGTGAAATAATTATTGTTCGTTAAGTTTAATTTCGTTCATTTCTTTGGTACTCTTTATCCACAAATGAACATTCCACGAAGTAATTACAAGTTTGACATAAAGCCAATTTCCGTATCGGTTGGCACTCCACGCATTTATGTACCCACCACTGTACCTTCGAAAATACTTTTTTTTTCTCGAGAAACCAAGAAAATTTGGCCCCACGAAAATATCTGATTTCACAGTAGTAGATAAATTTAACCAAAATCGATACATTTTGTTTTACTTTCAGGCCAGCTTAATGCGATCAAACGAGTCAGTCTTTCTCAACTAATGTGCGCTAGTATGGGCTTGCGGCAAATCCAGCCTGACGCCTTCCATGTACCATCCTTTAGGTGAGTATGTTGTTGATTATTTCCTAGATCGGAGATTTGAGGGGATAATGGTATATGTAGGTACGCCCACTCGTCCATCCATCTCGCCTCCGTTTCTGCACAGTAACTTAAGTTCCCGTGGACCGATCGAACTCAACCTTTATACACAGCTTCCTTCCGAATTTTCTTCCGTGAGGTTTTATTCAGATCCAAAAGTTTAAAGTTAAGGCTATGTTACTATAAATAGAAAGAACGTTTCCGTACCATTATTAGAGTTCTCAATAGTACATTTAACTCCAATATCATATAGACGTTCTTTACCAGATGTATATGCTTATAATTGCATTCAGATCCGAACGTCAAACATCTTGACAAACGTTATCATAATCAAAAAATTTGTTTCATATTGAATGTGAATTCCTTAGGTTTTATATGAAGAGCACAATGAACCCTTCAATAATTATATTCACATTATATTATTTGGAATGACAACAGTTTTTATTATTATTTTTCGAAATGAAATAATTTTAATTTCTCGCTTTATAACTCTTATAATAATGAACTAGGCGCAAAACATGGGTTTGACATTGATGACAATACACCATTAGCACTCAGTTTGGTAAGTTAAGTATCAAATGATTTATGTTCTTTATAACAGGAATCCTCTTGTTGGTTGTGAGTTCCTGCCTCGCATTGACCTGCGTCACTGGATCGAGGGTGGCAACCGACAATATCAACCCTTCAAAGGAATGATGTTTAATCAACAAAACATAGTGCCGTATAATTTAGTGCCTTTCTGGACTTTTTCATCATTACCAAACAACATTGCGTTTCCAGCAATGTACAATAACATGAAAGTAAACTTTAAAAGTGACGTTTATTAGACGAAGACCTGTACATCAAATTGATACAAGAACTGGATGTTGGTTATGACTTTATTCAGTGTTATAGAAACAGAAGATGACAAAGAACCGGTGACATGGTCATCAACGGAAGCGTTTGATCTATGTTAGATGTTTTAGTGCTTCATGGATAATATAAAATCAAGTAATATTTTGTGATTACATACACTGGATTTTTCTTGGCATAAGAGTTTTTTCATTGTAAAATTGATTTTATAAAGAGATAAACAGTGATTTAGTAAAATAGTTACTATCGATGTTGCTAAAATAGATATACAGTTGGGAGCAAACTTAACTTGGTATCTAGTGCACTTTGCAGTGCAAACGTAGTGAACAAGGTAGTGCGTTAGACAAAACATTGCAGTGCACTCTAGTGCACTATAATGTGAACGTATCGGCTTACAGAAGTGTATATTCGAAAATTTATAAAAATAGTCATATGTTTTTAATTATGTTCTTCGGCTAACGTGAATGATAATTGTGTGTAAACAAGATACATTTTGTGAGTAACGTTATCATTAATAAAATTCTGTCTCCTCAAACATTGTTTTCAATAGACGTGGTTACATTATTTTTGCTTAGTTATCAAGGTAGAAATTGAGACATATCAAGTAGATGTTATAGAAATACAAATATTGTGCCAATGCTGTATTTTAATATATGCAATACTTCTATCCATTATTGATTTAACACTGAAAAAAAGATAACTTCTTAAACAATATTCACCTGGGATCAAATATTGCTGGCTTCGTCTTCTTCAAAAGATGTAATTGCAAAGTTGAAAAAAAAACATTATTTGCGTCTTTTTTTCTCTCAATATTCTACTGCACCACAAGGACCGTACATATATGAATTGTAAATTTCTAGAAATTTGCAACAGATCAAATGTGTGTTAAGTTTAGTTGATAAGGCTTTGAACGGATCCATTGAATATCAAGCCAAATTGCTGTAATCATTGAAGATTCGTTAAGTTAAATTTTCGTGAATTATTTAGATATTGTTAAAATGTGTATAAAAATGTTGAATATTTGCATTTATGATTGTTTTCATTTGGAAAAGTATATATTTATATCTTAGAAAATGAGTGGTATATTTTGACTCGATGAAAAATCGGTAGAATTGAATATATCATTATAATGATTGTTACATTTATAATTAAAATTGTAAAATGAACATCATTAAGTATCGTTTATATGACAAATATGAGTTTTTAAAATTGCACGCAAGAATAAGAACTTTTGTTTAACATGACATGTAACTGAGTTGATTAATCACAGTTTAACTTAAGCATGTGCTCGCGATTCAGATATGTTCCGTGTATCTTTGGACAATAGACCTGTATTCAATATGTAAACTGCAAAAAGTTCTAAGGTAGACAGTATGCAAAAGAAATATATTGATCATAATTTTTTTTTTCATCAAAAATATCTTCGCCACGAGGTTTCGATCCCCGTACCTTTTTATTATGTGCCAGATGTTTTCCATTGCGTTACCTATTATGATAGTTTCATGTCAAGACGTTTTCGCAACATTAACGGGATTAATATCAAAATGTTCAAACTCTCTTAAAAGACTCACAACCTATAATTTGCACAAATCAAATGAAAATGACATTTTAACAGAACATAATGTTTTTACTGTTCAATAGTATTAGCATTCTTTATATCAATGAATTAAAAATATTTGCTGTTGTTTGGTCTTCGATACAACAGCTGATACGTTATTAAAAGTTATTAAAACTATTAAAGATAATTCAGTGTCCATTTTATTTTTGATTATTACAACGGAATACAATTAATTCAACATTTATCACCAACTAACTTGGTTCTTGGATACAAACAACAATGATGAACTAAAATGTTTACTGTTCGGGAGGAGTTATATGTTTGCAGCTGTCACAAGGCGATAACGTTTACAGATAATGGGACAAGTCAGGTTTTATCATCTCAGCTAGGATATGGGGACATAGCACGTCAGCCTGGTCTATTATTCTGACGACGTAACTACGGAGATAACACCTTAACTAAACAGCTACTGGATAGGAAAGATAAATTAAACGATAGATATCCGAAGAATCGGCATTTTGGACCGCTAATCACTTTTGATATTATTCGTATCTGTAATGAGAGGGTTCAAAAGAAACGAACACTAATTTGAAGGGGACTGCGTTAAATTATATGGAGTTAATAGTTTTACGCTGTAGAATATTCTCGACAATACCATATTGGTTCAAATAAAATGTTACACATTGTGTTAGGCCTGTAAAAAGCAACAATACATGATTTAATCTATAAAGCATTATTAAGCAGTTTAACACAGTTATAGATGAGAAGTTAGTGCGATAAGATGTTCCTGTAGTGCTTTGCAGTTTTAAAAAACCCCATTCCCAAACTTGTATAATATACATTAAATACTGATTTTTTTCAGTCATTATTCAATATCGACATATTTCAAAACTATGATTGATTAGTGTTAAAAATGCAGTTCACATGGTAATCTTGGAACCTTTATATATAGACCCCGACGCTGATGGTGATTAGAAAAATTAGCGAAAAAATAATAATAAGTACATACGAAAGTTGTGTTAATGTCATCTTTTCTACACACGCTTCAATTAACAACGTAATGTGTCTCTTCAATCTTGATGAAATGGAAATTTGATCCCTTTTTCGAACGGAAGTACATTTTTGTATAGGAAATCATTTTAATACCCCACCTACTAATGGAAAAATCTAATTAAATCACGTTTAACGTTTTCCCTTTAAAGATCAGAGTTTGAGCTGTAAAGATTAAATCTATTACCCGCCCAGGTATATTCAAGTCTTACTTGATGTATAAAACATTACTAAATACTTTTATTAATGTGTTTAGTACAAAATAGAACATCAATTAGCCTCGAAACAGCATAGGTTATAGCAATACATTTCTACATAACTATCAATAATATATTTATTATATAAAAAACTAATAATACTTTAGTCGTCAAATAATGGTCACACTGCACATAAAACTAACATTATATGAATACGACACTTTTTAAAACATAAAGTTATCATATACGCAGAAGCAATGCAGTAGGATCTGAAAGGTTTAATAAAACCATCGATTAAAAAGATACGGTCAATGGTTTATGAGAAGATTGATCTTTTCTTAAATACGAATACATCGTACCTTTGATAGATTGTATTATAACTTTAATCTGCAAGTGAAGACATAAATGTCATACACGTTTTTTGAATTAAACTATAGATGTCAATTTCCCTGGCTGAAATGCATATTCAATGAAACGTATTAATACCCAATACCATATCACTGTTGATTATATTTGAATTCATATTTCAAATAAAGAAATGAAAAAAAATACACTAGAAAAAGCAAATACAAATTTAATCAAAAAACAAATAAGCCAATACAAATCATGATATCGCTTCATTGTAAATTTTCAGATATCTTTTAAAGCATCATTTTGAAAAGTTTCATGAACGGCTCCTCGTGAGGTTAATCAGGGCCCTGAAATGCTATTCACCTTCATTAACCCATCAATTAGATGTGTATCTGTGTTCTTTAAATGAACCAAAGGACGACGATCCTTCGTAATTGTATGAGTATGATACTCGCTAGTTTTTCATACCTGTCTTTCCACATTTCCGTGGTTTCGCACATTTTCTTATAAAATAAGATTATGATCAGCTGAAACACATTAAAGATGAAACAATTTTTATATCCGCCAATAAATGCATATTTAAATCAGGATTTTGAAATAAGATGTAATAGAAAAATTGATTAAATGCTTACTAACCAAAAAACCACTTGCAGCACATGAGAATTACGTTGCAAGAGCAGATAACCTCAACAGGAAGAGTATCACTTCTTTAGAAGTTTTGTTCAGCTTTCTTAAAACGCAAATGATCACAAACCGTATCATAATATGAAACATCCTGTTATTCTGATTTCCTGTAAATGTTTGGAAACTTAATTCACCAATCCGAACACATTTTTCCAATGGAATACGTATAATTGTTTGTCACAAAAAAAACCTGTGGAGGTCTGGTTTTCAAGTAGGTTCATAGTATATAAACTTATTAAATACGTACTCACACCATCGAAACACAAGAACATATATATATCAGAAACGTAAGCCTGGACAAAACAACTATCAGAACAGAATGAATTATATTTTTTTCTATCTATGACGTTATGTAAGTATTAAAAAAGGGTTTTGTTTGTTTGCCCTTCATAGATGTAAAGCGATTCCACATTGAGCGACTGTTGTATATAATGTATCGCGTTATCAAATTTTGAAAAAGAAAATGAGCTTTGGCACTTTTTACTTTACATAATTGGAAAATGTATTAGCGATATTTAGGTAAAGATGATAAATAACTTCATGATACAACAATTTAATGACATCGTCATGTGATCGACATCATTGTGAAATAAAAGATTATGGCTGCGTAGGATTTAGGTATTTTTTGTTTGATGAGAAAAATGGAAAAAAAAACACCAAAAAAACGACGACGATACAGATTTGTTTTACAGATTAGCTTCAAATAGTTTGATATTGATCGATGAATGTTAGTAAAGCTTGCCACTTGTAAATAATAGAGTTCTACATTGCGGATGATTTTCCATGATGTTTGCGCAAAAAAGTCAAATGGCGACAACCTCTTAACTGCGACATTATACCATTCGAAAATTCGAATTTTTAACCAATGAAAGTGATGGAATGTGTTAATCAACTAGTCGAATAACGTCTATGGTTAACCATCTAAAGTTAGCTGTTAAATGAATGATCCGGAACAGATATAGTAGAAAGATACTTCCGCCATCGATGTAAGTTTAAACATTGTAAACAAGGTATGAATATTGATTCAGCAGCAGGTATACAGGGAAAGGTCATAGAATACAACAATCTTCAGGAATTATATAGGTTCAATTGAGAATAATGCATGCCTTTGTCCATATCACACCCAGTATCAACCCGAGACTGCAATATCAACCCGAGGTTTATATATAACTTAAGCAATCCTTAATGTTGGAATGTTCATATTTCGTGCTTACAATTTCAGTGATATTGGAAACATTAGTGATGTTTGCCAGATGTCATGGTGACGGCTGTTCCATACAGCAGCATAACGTCAGCACACAATCACGTCACGTGTGCCAAAGTGTTGACGTCATCCTGGTCAGCAGTGATGAGTTTAGTGAGGAGTTAGACCACTTTAGTAACGACCTTACATTGGGCAATCGCCTCAGACGACTTTACAGGCGTTCTCAGTACATGAAACGACGCATACAGATACTTAAAGAGGAATATGTAAGATTTGGTGCTATTATAAGAACCGTACAATCATCATTATTATAAATTAATGGACGATATTAGTAATTTAACTCCACCTAGTTTTTTTTTCAGTATTTGTTTTTCATGTGTGTTTCAGATATTGTTGATATACAATACATTTTCTGATGATCGCTGTTAATGAAATAAGTTTTAATACAAACGTCACAAAACTTTGTTATATTGAGGTAAAATTAAGTATTTGAAACAGGATAA